CAAGACGCATTTGAGGTTTGACGGATTAGTGTCCAGAACTTCGATGCACCTACAAGGACGATGAGGGTCACGGCGTAACGCGCTATCGACGCCTTCCAGTCACGAGATTGGGCGGAGGCTTCGAGCGAGGCGTCGGCATCTCAGTAGTCTTGTGGTCATGATGAGATGATGGACGGATGTAGATCGCAAGAGATTATGGACGGTGCTTGAGAGGTTGGCGCGAGGGGGGAGCCTGGGAAGTGCCGTTTGAGCTTTTCTTGATGGGGAAAGATGTGGCTGTCGGACCAGGGCCTCAACACGGAGCAGCAGTTATGAATGGTCGCACCCCCTGGTCTTGGAATTTGATTAGGGGCTGGTTTCTCCCCTTCCTGTTGGGTCCTGTACCTTGTGTGCTGGGGCTTGAGCATTGGCCTGGTGCCAGGGGCAGGTTTGGTGGCCTTTGTGTGCATGTCGTTCTGGTCCGGTTTTGGCCATGGGAGCACTACTCATTATCAGGAACAGGGGAGTAATACTTGGTAAAAAGTCTTTGGGGTAGTAGTAGCAGCGCAGAGGCCCTAGATGAGACCATTGAGAGTACGAGGCAATGAAGAGGGAGAGGGGGGGAGGGGGGGGGGCTAAGATAAAATCTCCGGTAATGAGGACTTGATGAAGTGTGATGCAGGGATAGCGAAGCTTCGCGCGCATAAGTGGACGAACGCGAATGATGATATTGATGATGGTGGAGGAGGGAGCAGACGCAGTTGATGCGAAAACTTGAGCATCCTCACCTTCCCGATATCCAGTGGGTGGAGTTGGAGGAGGCAGGGAGCCTCTGGGTCGCGTGGCAATCACCACCCACCCACCCTTTTGCTCAGCAGCGACTGGAGCCCACACCTCACATGTTTGGTAGGCCGGCTGGTGCTTAACCCAAGCACCAAGACGACGGGAAGGTCCTTCCTGCCCGTCATGGCATGGGCAGGGCGGGCGAAGGACCGCTGGCGCTGGCACTGGCATCCTAACTTAGGCGCCCTGGCTGATGAACTAAGTCTTAGCGGCTGCCTCGACCGATGCTACCAATGGGCCACTCCCTGAGAGTGTTCTAGCTTGGTGGAGTTTCGACTGCCTTACAGCAGGCAGATGCCTCATGGTCAGGTATAGGTACCTTAAGTGCCTACCTTACTCGCTACCACGAAATGAAACTCATCATGTGCAACGCCCCGACAGATGCATTCCGACCCCGTCACTCGTTTTTCTTGCCAGGTCAAGCCAGCGTAACCTCATCCGCTCGCCAGGATGCTTGAGTTTCGGTATGACCGAATGTCTCTAGGGCTCCTCTGCGATGGCTTGCTATTGCTATTGACACAAATAGCATGGAATAAGGTTGATGTGAGGCGCGTCAAGTAAACACAAATCAAGTTGGGTGCCTCTGGTGGCCCTGACGCCAAGCCCCTTCTTAGGACAGGATGTAAAACAAATTTGGTGTATTCCCTGTTAGCTGCATATTGCACGTTCCACTTCCCCGGTCAGCCCAGTGTCTCCTAGCCTGCACTGCAGCATCACTCAGGCCTGAACCCAAGTCGACAGCACAATACAGGACAAAAAAAAAGAGTCCATCCGAGCTCTTCTTCTTTGACGGGTCCCCCCCCCATCTCTCTCCTCTCTTTCTTCTCACTCTTGCGGCATCCCTACCTCCTCATCTCGCTGCTTGCCGGTTCCCGGTTCGATCCACCAGCGTACCTTCCAACTGTCAGCTTACCCTTTCTCCTCCTCACACCCCCCCCCCCCTCCAACCTCAGCCTCTGAGCCCTGTACTCCAACGCCAAACCACCCAAATAAACATCACGAACTTCAGACGCCGGACCCGGGCCCCGACAACAAGCACAACAGTAGCACCAGCGCCTGGGCGTCTCAGAAGCGCAATCGCGACTGCATGAGCCGGCAGCCGACGTGGTGATACCTGCAACGCCAATCACGGTCACCCGGTCGTCTCGAAACCCTCGCTGAGTGCCCTGCATCCCCTCCCCCCCCAAAAGCCTCGGCCTTCGGCCTCCACCCCCATTGCGGCGTGGGTCTTCGCCGCCCCCCCCCCCGCCCCCCCTGGGCACAAATCCCATCCCCATCCCATCTTTCTATTGCATTGGGAACCATGTCGCAGCATGACTTCAGGGCGCCCATGGTCGTCCTCCGTCACCTCCGCTTCTGAGCCCCCTCGTCAACACCGTCAACAACCGTCTTCTCCGACATCCTCCTCGTCGATGCTTGATGACAGCCCAACCACCGGCCGTGTCCTCAATACCCTCCCTGCCTCATCGACCACCAGTCTTCTCTCGGCACCGCCCACAAGGTACGCGATCTCTCTCCCTCACCTCCCCCTCCGCAAGGTCTCTCGGTCAGCCAAACGGCACCTCGTCTCGCGTTCTCATTTTCGCCTGCGAAACGACCTGATCAGCACTCCTCTCTGGGCTTCTCGCCTTGGCCGTCTTCTCTTGCAACCCAAGAACGAAGCTCCTACCCCATATTTACCTTCCCTCGCCGTTCATGTCTGGCGTTCTGTCGTGCAACAATCCCACGACTGTAGGCTTGTGGGACCCAACTGACACGGCTCTCCGCGCCATAGATCTGCTCGAAGACCAATACCCAGCCCGCTCTCTTTGACGGCCGCCCTGTCCGCCGCGAGCCCGTCGCCAAGCCGGCCAAACTTCCCAGCGCCAGCGACGGCTCCCATCCTGAGGACCGCCATCCCCTACAGTCCAACGTCGCCTGTCGACGAGCCGCGCTCTCCGAGGGAAAAGCTGGACGACCTGCTGGCCACGGAGAGGACGTATTACCAGAGCGACTCCTCTGGAAAATCGACGCCCGATCCGACATTCTCATCGTTCGTCACGACTCAAGCTTTCCGGCGCCCAGCTGCCTTTCCCGTTTCGCTGACACAATCCCTGGACAGACCCAACGCACCCTCCCGCGCCACGAATGACAGTCGAAGTGTCTCCGACCCTGTTGCGCCCCGCAAGCCTGCTGTCATAGGCTTGCCGAGATCTCCGATGCCTCCCGGCATGGCTGCCGGTCCCTCGGCTGCTTCCCGGGCAGAGCCGACAAAGGGTGCCCCCCGAACCTCCTCCATGGACTCCGCCATATCCGCTGCGACCAAGACGAGCTCGCAAAAGGGATCGCGAGAGCTCGAGACCGATTCACAGGATATTGCCGGCCTCATCAAGACGGCCGGCAGCCCTGAAGCAGTGATCCAGTATCTGTTGAAGGAGAAGCAGTCCCAGGCGCAACAGAACGCGCAGCTATGGCGCCTCGTCGACAAGCAGCGCGCTATGATTCTTGGCCTCAACAAGGGACCTGGAACGGTCACTGAAGGAAAAGGAGAAGTACCGTAAAAAGCTGAAGGAGGTCATGTCCGTTCCAGAAATCGCCAAATCCGCAGGCTTGAAGAAGTCTGGAAGCGTTGCCGATGTTCTGGGACGATCAGTCCCCAAGGTGGATGTCCATGGCCCGACCGACCAGCAGCCCGCGGCGCCGACTCCCCTAGCCTCGACTCCGACAGCCAAAAGCATTCTCCTATCGATCTCGCCATGGCCCCGTACCCGATCACGCCCCCCGCCGACCAGCCACACAATGGCCCTCCATCAGCTGTGGGTGAGATGCTCGACCCTTCTCACACAATGCCCAAGCCTCAGGAGCATGCGTACGATCGGTACGACCATGAGGCGGAAGAGAAGGCAGAACAGGTCGCACGACAGCAAGATGACCAAAGACAGCTTCAAGAGCTGCCGCTCAACCTTGCTCTACCGCCATCTCGAAGTTTGCCAAGCAAACCGCCCAGGATGCCTCCTCCAAACCCCCCTGTGGGACCTCCTTCGCCTGTCGCCGCTTCACAGGCCAGCCCTCAGACGGACGAGGGTCTCGCGAAATTCCCGGCACCCCCGCCCCGCAAAGCACCACCCGCGCCTCTACAACTTCACAAGGAACGAAGTGTGATTCTTGACGAGGACGAGACAGATTCCGATTTTGATGACATTCTTCAAGTGAACAGGGACATTGACCCCAAGCGCGGTCGACGGAGGACCAGAGAAGAGGACGATAGAATGCGAGAGATTCTTGCCCAACAGGAAGCAGAGAGGCGTAGCCTGTCGAAGAAGAGCAAGTCGCAGAGCCAGAAGAGCACGCCCACAGAGCCCGAGCACCCCGGACGGTCGGAGGCCATACCGCCAAGCCCAAGAGAGATCCCTCAGCAGCTTGCGCTGCAACAAAACGGCCCGGCATCCCTCGCAGGCGTTCTCTCTGGAGACCGCATTCAGACCACTGTCGTCACTGGCCCCTTGAGCCCCGGACTTCTCAGTCTCCCCGCCCGTTCGGCGCTGCGCCGTCGGGAAACGTAAATTCGTTGGCGACACCTCGAACAAGATCTCACTGCAATCCGCCCCCCCTATTCCCGAGGCCCCCCCCGCAGCCGATTCCTCTCCCGCCAGGCACACCACTGGCTTCGCGCGAACATGACGGGCGAGCCATTGTCCCTGAAGAGCCCCCAGCCACTGGTCATCATGAAATCGTCAGAGACGAACCGGCAGGCAAACTCAGACAAGCCACGCACAAGCCCCACGGAACGCAGTCGCGTCTTCAAGGGATTTGTCACAGACGAGTATCCCGACCTCCTCCTCCCTCCAAACGCACTGCCCTCGATCCAGATCAAGGTTGCCTCGTCACGTATGAAGCCTTCACGAGCCAGTGTATTATCCCTGACACAACTCGAAGAGGACCCCGTGTTCACTCTGGCTGTGTTCAGCCGCGCCAACGGTGCAGAACTCTGGCGCGTCGAGAAGGATCTTGCGTCTCTCGCTAAGCTCGACCAGAAGCTGAAGAATTGCTCGACTGTGACGATCAAGGCTCCTGATAGGGCACTGTTCAGCGGACACGCACCGGCGAAACTTGACGCTCGCCGCATTGCACTAGACTACTACCTCGAAGAAATCCTGGAGACGCAGCTTGACCAGACGGCCGCGACGGAATTGTGCAAATACCTCTCCACTCACACTCTGCCTCCGAACTCTGACGAAGCTTCGACCCCCGACATCATCGAGTCAGCCAACGCGAGAGCCGGCCCGGTGGTCGACCTTTCCGCAGCGGCTATCTGACCAAGAGGGGAAAGAACTTTGGCGGCTGGAAGGCTCGCTTCTTCGTGCTCGATGGACCTCAGCTCAAGTACTTTGAGGCACCCGGCGGAGCTCACCTTGGCACCATCAAGCTGCCTCATGCTCAGATTGGCAAGCAGTCTCAGCACAATGAAAGCCAGTCGCCAGCTCCCGGCGCGAATGGCGATGACTTTGATAACCAGTACCGCCATGCGTTCCTCGTCCTGGAGCCGAAGAAGAAGGATTCGAGCAGCCACGTAAAGCACGTGCTCTGTGCGGAGAGTGACATGGAGAGGGATCAGTGGGTCGACGCCCTTCTCCGGTGGATTGACTACCGTGAGCCTGGCGAAGAAGATGGCCGGTCCGGGAAGGACCACACACACGACAGGCATGGCTCGGGCGGATCGGAGCGCAACATGGTGAAAAAGAAGAAGGGAAAGCCAGGGGTTTCCATCCACCAACCCTCCGACTCGGACAGCCTCATTGGGGTCAGATATGATTCGACATCCCAAGGCAACTTGCCGCACTCGGCGCCGGGACGACCCAAAACATCCGGAGGCCTGCCGGAGCACCCAGGCCATAACGAGGCCGCGCAGGCGCCCATGGTCATCTCAGGCCCCAAGGACATGCACGTCATCTCCGACTCGTCCTCGTGGGGAAACAAAGCCGCAGGCGCTTTCCGTTCCCAGCTACGAGGAGAAGAAGCAGCGGAAGAGGAGCTTTTTCGGTTTCGGGCCGAAGACGACGAGATCGTCTGGTGATGGTGGTTCGGATGGGCTCTTTGACGGCAGCTCCGCGTCAACGCCACCACAGGGCGCAGGGTACCAAGGTCCGGTCCGCCAGGTGTTCGGAGCGAACCTGGCCGAGGCTGTGCGATACAACTCGCCTGTCGATGTCGACGTTCCCCTGCCGGCCGTTGTGTACAGATGTATCCAGTACCTGGACGCCAAGAATGCCATTCTCGAGGAGGGTATCTTCCGGCTCAGCGGCTCCAACGTGGTCATCAAGCAGATTCGGGAGCGTTTCAACATTGAAGGCGACATCAACCTCATCACGGACGAGGCGTTCTACGACATCCACGCCATCGCGTCGCTCCTGAAGCTGTACCTGCGCGAGCTGCCTACCACGATACTGACGAGGGACCTGCACAACGAATTCTTGTCCGTCACGGAGATGACGAGCCCCAAGGACAAGGTCGCGGCGCTGAACGCACTGGTTCAGCGTCTGCCGCTGGCCAACGCAACGCTTCTCAAGTACCTGCTCGCGTTCCTCATCCGGATCATCAACAACGCCGACATCAACAAGATGACGGTGCGCAATGTCGGCATTGTCTTTTCGCCGACGCTCAACATCCCGGCCCCGGTGTTTGCGATGTTTCTGCAGAACTACGAGCCCATCTTTGGCGTCGACGCCGAGGAGTATGAGCTCCCGTCACCGAGCAGCGCCAGCGAGTCGTCCCGCGACGCGCCGCCGCCGCCGCCGTCGGCTGGCCTGCCCCGGAGGCCGAGCGACGGCCAGAGCGCGCGGCCGGGCACCGCGGACCACAGCCCGTCTCCTCACCGGCAGCGCTTGATGGAGGCCGTCACGGGACAAGCGCAGCCTCGACAGGGAAGCACGCCGCCGCCTCTTCTACAAGACCTCAACGCCGCTCGAGGGGGCACGAACTCGCCGCAGAACTTCTCGGGCCATCGCGGGATGACGTATGAGCCCCAGTATGCCCAACAGCAGCAGCAGCAGCAGCAGCAGCAACAACAACAACAACAACAACAACAACAACAACAACAACAACAACAACAACAGCAATATGGCAGGGCTGGGTACGAAGGCGGCATGGGTGGACCCCAGGGATACGAAGGAGCGGGCTACCACCAGCAGGCCCGCGGAGGGTATTCTGCCGGTCCGATGGACGGTGGAAATGGGGGGTACGAGCAGCAGCAGCAGCAGCAGCAGCAGTGGCAGCAGCAAAAGCCCAACCGGCGGCGCGAGAGTGCCATTTTCAACGGCGGCATGATGAACACGAATCAGCAAGCGGCGCGGAGTGGGCTCCGTGAGGAGACACGATTCTAGAGGCAAGGGATGAAACGACACGACACGAACGGCCGAGCCAAGCGACGCGCATGACGGGACTGGCTTGACGCCTCTTTCCGTCTTCCTTCTCTCTCTCTCTCTCTCTCTCTCTCTCTCTCTCTCTATCGATACCTACCGGCGCAACGAAGCCGGCTCCCGAGTTATGACGATTATACCCCAGCATCGACTGTCGACAGGTGAAGAAGATGTAATCAGACGGAGGGGACGTGCCAGGGGTGGCGAGGATGACGGCATGAGGCTATTTTCTTTTCTTCTCTTCTCCTATTTGAGCAAGCCATTGGGTGGGGGGGGGGGGATTTTGTATAGTTACGTGATGCAGGGCTTGGATCCGGCGTCCCTTCTCTTCTACGCAGCACGGCGTTGATGGCGTCTTTCACTCATGGCGGGCTAGGCACGGAGTTACCATTTCTTTTTTTTTCTTGGGGGGTTTTTTTTTGCAGCGCGCAGATGTCAAGAATGAACGCTAGCTCTGACTGGAGTGATGCCGTGACTGCTTTTGCTGTATGCTAGGTAGTTCAAGATACCTCCTTCACTGCAGCAAGCACTCGCCTGGCCCACTGAAGGCCTACAGCAGGCTGACTATGTGATAGCGAGGTGCTCCCTCATTTGTAGCAGGCGGTTCTGTGTCGACCCTGGTAAGGACCCGAAGGAAGGACCACGTGGTCATGACCATCTGGTGAGGTAGGAAGGATCACCTGGTGAGGTAGGAAGGATCACCTGGTGAGGTAGACCACCGAAGGAGGGACCACCGAAGGAGGGACCACCGAAACAAGGACCTCCGAAGCAAGGACCACAGGAAGGAAGGAAGGAAGGAAGGATGACATAAGCAAGGCAACGTCGGCGGTTGCAGCCGCCATGTCCGTCCCAAGGCGTCCAAAGGCATCCAAAGGGCCCAAACACCAAGCAACGTCGGCATTATCAAACGCCGCTCCTCCGTTCTCCGTCTGCCGATGTTCCATTCATTCCATCGCATCCCATCAAGACTGCCTCGCCGAACACTACCTTTCCTATGCCTCCAACAAGTTTGAAGCCCCCTCGTTCATCCTTCTGCATCTAGACGGCACGTCAGGGTGACCGTCGCCTCGCCGGCTCTACGGCGGCCCGCTCTCACCCCTTCCTCTCCTTTCACCACGCATACAGATCCCACCATGGCCGGCGAAACAAACCCCGCGGCCACCGTTGTCGATCCCGCCCTCCGCAGCGCCCCGACGTCATCGACCGTGACCCCCTCCGATGGCAGCACCGAAGCAGCAGCAGCAGCGGCCGCCGCCGCCCTGTCTGCTGGCTACCGAGCAGCACCTCTTCACCAGCAGCCGAGCCGAGACGGAACCCCGGCGTCCCACGCCTCCGAAGACGAACATGATGACCACGAGCACGACCACGAGCACGACCGCGACCGCGACCGCGACCACGAGCATGATCACCACAGCCAACAGCACGCCGACGAGACAAAGCGGCCGCGCGCCTGCGAGGCCTGCCGCGGCCTCAAGGTGCGCTGCGTGCCTGACGCCGCCGCTCCCGAGGGGCCCTGCGCGCGCTGTCGCAAGGCACGCCGCGCGTGCCATCGGTGACGGTGCCGACCCCGCAAGGAGGGGCCAAGAAGAACGGGACAGCCCGCGTCCGCCCGAGCTCGAGGAAAGAAAGATTGACGCCCTTGACGGGCGAGCCTGCAATGCCGCGGGGCAGCCCGGGCGAAGAACGGGCCATCAGCAACAGGTGGGGGCGGGCGGCCCACCCCCGGGACGGCGGGCCCTGGCGGAGAGAAGAGCCTTTCTGGAGCCCTTCCTGCTGGTGCCCTGCGGCGGCCGGGCGAAGCCCAGACCCCGCCGAAGGTTTGTACCACGCCCGAGGAGCCGAACGGGGGCGCCCACGGCTGGGGGTCAAAGAGGAAAGCTTCGGCGAATCGCGAC